GCAAAAAAGTCGTTTTAATGCACTGAAATAATACTGAAAAAGTGCTCATCAACATCAAAATGACTTAGCTAGCCAATCAAATCAAGGAGTAGATTTAAGTGATAGATACTGTATAAAACATAAATTCAAGTGTGACTGTTTGGTTTATAATGATGAAAGAGTGTGGGGTAATTTGTAGTTGGCTTTATAATAAATATCTGACACATTTTACAATATAACAAGTGTAGCTGTGATGTCCCATTATGGAAATTATTGTATGGAAATTATGTAAATTATGGTATGGTTAAAGTAAAAATTTGTCATTTTTAATATATATTTATTAATCATTGACATGATTCATGTAAATCAAAAAGGAATGTAAATCATTTTGTGGTTTTACACGTTATGCACACATTCATTCACTGATAATTTGGATACATTCCTTTTTCTTTTGGCTTAGTTCTTTATTTATCAGAGGTTGCCACAGCAAAATGAACCGCCAATTGTTCTCATGTTTTACGTACCGGATGTCTATGATGGCAATTCTATACCAAAAAAATTGAGCGCTCTGGTGATATTTACATGCGAGGAGAAGTGAGCCGCGAGAAGATTACAGACCTACACGCAAGGAAACTAGTGCTCACGTGTGAACAGAAGATGTTCATCATCTTTGCGTATGATGTACGATTTTGCGTGCAAGGTCATGCCTCACAGCATGTGTGCAATCAGATTTTTCTTAATCTATTGTCAGATACTATTGAATATTTTAACCTGCGCCTAATCCAGGCTAACTTCCGGAAAAGGAGAGTAACCAATATCGTTAGATTTAACAATTAAACCAAGTCAAAGACTGACGAAATTTTTAAAAATGAAAATGTTTCGCGCGAGCAGACAGAAAAGCCAGCAAGTGAGCGAGTGAGGCACAAGTTGTGAGGCATAATTTCATTTGCAAGCAGTGTTGCCAGATTAAGAAAATTGATATTTTATGAAGTCGCAAGCATAAGTGCAGGGTCAAAGTTGGAGGCATCGATCAGTGCCACCTACAGTATCATGCAGGCATAAATTCCCAAAGGGCATCAATAATACAGCATTTAGTATGAATGTGCCTCTGCACTTCACTTGAGGCAAGGCAAGCTTATTTACATAGCACATTTCATACACAATGGTAATTCAAAGCAATTAACATAAATAAGAATTCAAGCGTTCACACTTCGCTGATGATTGATTATAAAGTTTGGCATGCTGTCCTGGGAGAAAGCCGTGAGCTCATAAGATCCTCGAACCCAGGGCTGCTGGGTGAGTGGGGATTTTGAGCTCATCTAGGTCTTGAGAACTTCCCCCTTATTTAGGGCTAATGACATATTATAAATTGCTATATATATATATATATGTATATGGGAGTTTATGAATTTGATGTAACCACTGAGCATATTTTAAAGTTGCCATTTCAATTTTACATTTTTAAATTTTAAATAAATGCACCTAGAGCTTTTGTTTCATGTACCTTTTGTTTAATTTGTCCCTTCTCATGTTGATTTTTTAATATTTTAACTTTTAATCATTTCGATTTCATGAGAAAAATGCAAATAAAATACAACCAAAAATTAATAAACAGCATACATGTTTTCTTTGTGGGTGACAAATGCACACCTCTTTTCACTGATTGGTCAACTAAACACAAAACCATGCAGTCATTAATAATTTGTCCGTTTAGCACAGCATAATAACATCTGATTATTCTAAAAAGATGATTTTTTTTTTTTTTTTATAACACATCCAAACTGACAAATGACTACCACACTGTGCCATAGACAGGACTTTCTTCTGTCCGAGCAAACCTTTGATAACCTTGACTTAAAATAATGTTGTCTCATAAGAAAAAAATAGACTTTAGTTTTACTTACTTTGAATCTGCACAATTAGCCATTAGTCTACAGTACATCTTAGACATGCCGCATTTGATTTTGCTGACCCGAATATATGATTTAAAACAGAGTAAGCTACAAAATGCTCAACTCAAAATAATAAAAAAAAGAACAAAATATTACAAATTTCGTAATTCCTTACTTGAACATGTTTTTCATAGTAATTTGAGTAGACCTTGATTAATTTGTGATTTTGTTTAATTATTTCATTGAGCAGATGAGATATATCACACTAAAAAAACAATAATGAAAAAAGACGTCATGATGTCATGGCTCCATTGAGACATTCATATCCAGCGGCTCATGAAAAACATTTAATGGATCATTAATAACACAAATTAGCGCATTTGTTTCTTTCAAGTTTTTTTTATGATCATCTGTAGACTGTTTAATAACGATTTAATTTAAAGCTGAAAATCAATAATTCATCAAGTAATAATGTTATCCTTGCCAAGATGAAAGCATGTGGTTTTTTGCAGGTCATAAGGCCATTTTAACATGCATATTGTATAACTACCCACAATGCTTTATTTATGAATCTTTTTTTCTAGTGCAGCAAACCACTGTAGACTGTATATACAGATTTGTTCTATCAGCACATCTTAGCAGCTTGATTGCTGATAATAAAACACATCTTAAAACAAGCCAGACATTAATATCACATATGATTCCACATGAAAATTAGCATTAATTTATAGACAGCCCTCAGAAAGCTATACTTCTAATCTGCCATTTGAAGAAAAACACAACTTCACCCATGAACGTAGCAATAAAACCCAGCTTAGATCAACACATGAAGGAAATTCCTTAAACTACGCAACTATGATCTCTCCTTGTGGCTCTTAACTTGCGTGAACATGCAGGGCTGACAAATTAGCTTGACCTCTTGTCAGGCTGGGTCTCCTATGGTTTATAAATGTTCTCACCCACTGGGATTACAATCGGACGAGCTTGCAGTCATTAAGCTAATGGAGGCGCATTCTAATTGATGACATCCTCATTTGCATTGTGTGTTAATTACCCAAATCACTTAGCCGCATCTGCAAATTCTAATTAGTACCCGCGGATTCAGAGCCGCTGAATGTTTTCACCTGAAAATGAAGATGTCTTTCTCTCACCAATGGTAAACAAAAAGCAGAAACGAATTAAGTAAAGTAACCATGAAGTGAAAATTCATCTCAGGCACACCAACCAGAATTAATCACAACCATTTCAAAAGCCACATGAATATGCTAAGGAAAGTGTTTTAACAAATATGGAGATCCAAAAGTAGTGAAGAATGAAATCTGAAAGAACAATAACGTAACAAAAAACAAAACAAAATGTATTAAACAAATTGATTGTTAACATAGCTGATAGTACAGTACAGTGTTGGCTACAGGGTGGGAGGATTTCTTAATGATTTTTTTTTATTTTCCTCTCCCTTTTATTTTATTGAAACATTAAATACCTAACAAAAGTATTTAAAAAGCAATCAACATTATAGGGGAACGAGGCACACTTACAGTAAAAATTAACATTCACTATTATCAACAGCTATCAGGATGAAGTGCTATTTAACATCAAGTAAGAACAAATTTCACTTCAGAATAACTCAGTAATAACATGACCGTCTCAATCTGAATCCAGATTGGAGAGAACAGCATCACACGAGGAAAAGTCAGCTGTTAACAGTGCAATTGTGTAACAGGCGCTAGATTGTGACTGCTTACTGCCAGAATTGCTGATTTGAGCCTTAATTGGAGCAACAAGGTGAGGGTCGAATACGAGGGGTTAACGCAAAATGGCTGTCACTATTTCTTTTAAAGCATGTGAAAAACGTTACCTAAAAAAATAACAATGTTACCTATTAGATACCAGTGGACACATGAGCAGCAATCGTACCATTAATCTCAACAAATGATGAGCTGCCCTATGGGCCTAAATAAAACTTTACATAATTAGGCATCTTTTTGCACTGACTTAGTTAAGTCTATTTACTAACTATATACGTATTTTCACCTTAAAATGTTTATTTCATTGAGTTAGTGTAAATAGTTGGTCAAACTACGCATTTCAAGTAACCTGGACTTCTAACATTTTTAAGTAAGCATATCTTGCATGTTTGTTATGTCCCTTTACGTATTAATTCTGCTCTTTTTGTATTGTAAATATTTGTAGATAGTAAGTAGGGAGATTGACGCCATTTTCTTTTGTACCTTTTTCTTTTGCTGAAAATTGGGAAGTTAGATGGAATTTTAATTTAAATTGTTTTGTTTACTATTTTGGCCTGGTCAGGTTTTGAAGTAAAAAAAAAATAATTAAGAAAATCACTGTGAAAATAAAATCTCTACATATTTTCTTAAGCGGCATTGTTTGTGCCGTTTTCCCTTTCATGTTGCGTCCTTACCCCTAGACGGGGCGTTACATGTAATTGGGGGCTCGTCCTATGTTTTTTGTACTCCTATTGAGACTCCTAATATTTTCACTCATAAGGCAGAACCATTCAAAGGTTATTCAGTTAATTCTTTGCCTGGGGCTTTTACTTTGTGTAGGAGGGAAAGTAAGTGGTTGTGTAATAACGTCAAAATTCGAATTAGATCGATTTACAATCGCACACACACATGAATAATTTGGTAAGTGTCGTAAAGATTTTTTTTTTTTGTAAAAAATATGTAGTTGAAATATATTAACATAAATTTTAAGTTATCTGTACTAACATTTAAGTTTAGTGAACTTAAATCACAGATTTTCTTAATTAGCAAAAGCACAGAAAACCAAGTACATTACACATTTTATAAAAAAAAAAACTTAAAATTTGGAATCATTTTTACAATGTGCTATGAACAAAATATTGCTTATATGGAATTAGTTTTTTCAGCACCCCCTCTAATGTGTTAAGTCAACAAACCACCTTCGCATCCCCAATTAAAATCTTAGAGGCACCGTCAGTACAGCATGACATAAATAGTGCAGCTACATATAGCATTCATTACAGAAAGCATCTCTATTGTAGAGTGGCCCTTCTAGAAAAGGTCTCATGTGGGTAGTTACTATATCTGCAAGCACAGCAAAGTTGTCATGCGGTTGTAGATCTTGCATATAAAGAGCTCTTACCTGAGAGTGAACATTTCCACAGGTGAATACGGCAAAGCTGCAACATACGCTGACACAGTATCCCTTTGCCGAACTGGAGCAGACGGTACTAACACTGCAAAATTCCCATCCAAACGTTGCTCTGATAATTCCGGAGGAGATGGGTTCTGGAATAATCGTACACTCCCGATGTGCCTCATAGGTGTAGAAGTCGGTGATCCAAACATTCCTTCCTGATCTGAGTGAGCTGTGCTCCGGACGCCTAACTCCTCAGAAAGACACCCCCCTGCTTCTGGGGCACGGAGACTGTAGTACAACTCTACAGGTGTTCCTTCGGACGAATCCGGATTTCTCTGTCGACCAGGAACGACGCTAGGAGGTGCAAACCACCCAGGAAGAGGTTCGAGCTCAGCAACGCAAACGCCCATGTCACCTCGCAACCTGCAGCTCCCGTGGACCTCTTGGGTTTCATGAAAAGCAAACATCCGTACGCAGGGGAGTTTGTCCACTGCACTATAGTCATCCCAATCTCTTCCAGAAATGTAGAACAAGACCTGAACTTTAGGTTTGTTTAGGAAAATCCTTTCGTTAAGAACAAAGGTCTGAACTTTCCAATTGAAGGTGAAGAGTTCTGTGGATGCCACAAAGGAACCGGGCATCTGGAGGAGGTCCAAAGGTACAGGCTCTTCCACAGCAAGGGTCCCATAGGTGGCATTGATGATAGGAGGCTTCCTTGCCTGCTGGATGAAGAACAGTTCCGTTCTGGAAAGGAAACTAGAGTTGCGCATGAAGTCCTGGGTGGCCTCCTTAAGGAAGAAAGAGGATTCTGTGTTGAGGAGTTGATAGTTAACGGGTAGGTAAGTAGGGGAAGCGTAGCGTTGAAGATTCTCCAGGATTCGACAGTCTGTAACTGACAGAGAAAAAAAAAGGTGTCAGATCCAGCTGAGATAGTTGCATGTATGTAGGTGGGTGTATTTAAAGAAGAAAGATGCACAGATGCATCAGTATGCGCAGTATGCATTGACTGATACCAAAATGTGGATATTTATTTTCAGGTATGACATATGGGTGACATTAAAATGTTGGGTCACACTTTATTTTAAGAAACAATTCACACTTTTAACAATGACTTTGGTAACATTTAATAACAATTGCACTATAGGAATCATTTATTAAGCCTTAGCAAATAGTTTCTTGTTTAAGCATTAACTCTACATTAAAAGCATTTGTATGCCGGTACAATACATATCCTGTAATCTTGACTTAATTTATAATCTGCTAAATGATTGCAATGTAATGTTTATTATATAGTGCATTTACTGTTTGTGGCCATACACCCAAAGCTCTTCACAATCATTGGGGGGGGGGGGGGGGGGTTGGGGGGCGTCTCTCCACACCACCACTAGTGTGCAGCATCCACTTGACAATGGTGCCAGTGTGCTCACCACACACCAGCTTTTGGTGGAGAGGAGAGACAGTGATGGAGCCAATATGGTGGATAGGGATGATTGGGAGGCCTTGATTAGAAGGGCCAATTGAAGAACTTTTTCAGGACACCAGGGTTACATCCCTACTCTTTATGAGAAGTGCCATGGGGATGAGTCAGGACCTCAATTTAACATCTCATTCAAAAGACGGCGCCCAGTGACAGTATAGTGTCCTCTTCACTTTGATTGGGCCATTAGGACAGACCACAGGTTGAGCACCCCCTGCTTGTTTCTCTTACACCACTTCCAACAGTAACCTCGTTTTCCCATGTGGTCTCCCATCCAGGTACTGACCAGGCTCAGCCCTGCTTAGCTTCAGTAAGTAACTGTTCTTGGGTGCAGGGTGATATGGCTGTGGCATTTTCAAACTTTGATTATTTTTCTTCGTTGCTAAATTAGGTATTGCATTATGTACAAACCGACTACATAAGAGTTGTTGGTGGTTTTTAAAATAATTTAGAATGAGTAAGTTAATGAATAAATTATTCAATTGAACATTTATATGTCAACTTTTTTGGGCAGATAGTAACAGTTACTCTTAATGTCAATGCTTATACAAAGTCTTACAAAGCTTATACAAAGGCTTATACAAAGTTTGTGAGCTCATCTAAAGCAAAGACTATTTATGCTTTGTAAATCACTTAGAACTGACAATTAAAAGGCCAAAAAAAATATTACTTTCAAAATATAAAAATGAAACTTTACAACTGTATCAAATGAAAAATAGTATTTGCAATTTTATCAAAAACACTGTACAGTTTATACATTGGTAAATACAAGAATAGCTAAAATACATTTTCTGTACATCAAATGTTTACGAAACAGTATAATATGATAAAATATTTCAGTATTACTACTCTTACACAAGTTATGTAATAAAGTAATGAAAAATGTATCAACAAAATATGAATATGCAATCATTAATGACGTTATATACAGTGTGCAATTAAATCAAGAATACAGCATTTGTAGCTGTATTTAGCATTTCTTACAGTTGTCTATTAATCTATGGTAATGCTGAAAAAATGGTTAACTATTTGTCAATGCTTAACGTCTAGAAATAAAAGCTTAATAATAAAATATGAATTAATTAATGCCTAAATCAGAGATGTTCAAACTAGAACCTTTGGGCCAAAGTATATATATATATATATATATATATATATATAATTAATTAATTATTATTATATATTATATATATATATTATATAATTATATATATTATATATATATAATTAATTAATAATTATATATATAATATATAATTTTTTCAACACATTTCTAAACATAATAGTTTTAATAACTCATCTCTAATAACTGATTTTTTTTTATTTTTGCCATGATGACTGTAAATAATATTTTAATAGATATTTTTCAAGACACTTCTATACAGCTTAAGGTGACATTTAAATGTTTAACTGGGTTAATTAGGTTACCTAGGCAGGTAAGGGTAATTACTGTATGTAAGTTATTATATAACAGTGGTTTGTTCTGTAGATTATTGAGAAAAAATATAGCTTAAAGGGGCTAATAATATTGTCCCTAACATTGTGTTTAAAAAATTAAAAACTGCATTTATTCTTGCCGAAATAAAACAAATAAGACTTTCTTCAGTAGAAAAATATTATCAGACATACTGTGAAAATTTTCTTGCCCTGTTAAACATCATTTGGAAAATATTTATAAAAAATTTGAAGGGGACTAATAATTCTGACTTCAACTGTATATATATATATATATACAAACACTTCATTAGTTAATACAATTTAAAGTATTGTTTTCAATTTATTTTTAAATATTAGGAAATTACCTAATTACCAAAAAAAAAAAAAAAAAAAGCATCATGCATGTAAGGAAATTATCAACAGCTAACAGCTTTCAATTATATTTTTGGCCTTTCATACATACAAGTTTGGGTACCCCTGGCCTAAATAATTCATTGTGTGCAGGTTTTAAAAAGCATACCGAGACTATTATCTCAAATGATTAATTAGCTACTTATTGATAGATAGCAAGATGATAGTTGGGTTTAGGTATTGGGTATAATTAGAAATGTAGAATGAGTCCATACTAAAAAAAACTATTACGTACTACTAAACAGTTAATATATTAAAGGCAGGTAATTGTTACTTAAATTACACTAAAATGTAACCAAACATTGTACTGTTCCATCTTAATAAATAAGAAATGAAACATTAAAATGCACAGACTAAAAATCAAAGATTCAATTTACAAGTGATATTAAATTGTAATTCTTTTAAAGCTTAACTTTAAGTGTTACATTAAATCAAATGAAATCTAAATGGCAAAATGGAGGAATAAAGCATGAACATAAAATCTGCTGTAGCTGCTAAATGAATTAAATCTCCAATTTGCATCCCTGGAAACCACAGTAACAGCAAGTAAATTAGCATAGGAACTAAAGAAGCTATTTATGATCCCACAGCTGTCAGATTTGATGAAATGTAATCTTGACAAACACATTGCAGAAGTCTCAGTCTTTCTCTTTTCAGCAAGATAAGAACTATACTTGTCTGCATAAAAACTAGCTGCCCAGAGGTATTACCAAGATGGTTGGTGAAAGGGATGACTTGCCTTAAAGGGATAGTAAAAAAAAAAAAAAATAGTTCTAAAAAGTAGCTAAAAAGTAGCCTAGTTCAGGTTATTAACCTAGTTAAACATTTAAATGTCACTTTAAGCTGTGTAGAAGTGTCTTGAAAAATATCAAGTAAAATATTATTTATTGTCATCATGACAAAGATGAAATAAATCAGTTATTAGAAATAGGTTTTTTAAACTGTTATGCTTAGAAATGTGCTGAAACAATCTTCCCTCCATTAAACAGAAATTGGGGAAACAAATAAACAGGGTAGCTAATAATTCTCACTTATTCTGACTATATATATATATATATAACAAATCATTTAGGAAACAGGGCTACTGTAAACAACAATAACGAAAACAGGGCAAAATAATCAGTCCATCATGAGCCGCTGTCAGGAGGAACCAGAAACTGGTGTGTGTGTGTGAGGTGCGTTACGGGAGCTGTGGTGTATTAAAGTGTTCTGTGTGTGGTTCTCCAGCAATCTGTACAGGCTATATTGCTTGTCATTGTGACAGGATCTAAACATAGTCTATGACTTTTTCTCAAGTAAATAAAAACAGAATGTTCATAAGGCTTGAAGAAAGAACAGAGTGAGTAAATGACAATAATAATCAGTTTTGGGCACACTATCTCTGTAGTTATTTTTTACAGGAAATGTCCAAAACAGTAGCATCAATAATGATAGTAACTTCTACCACCACAAAACATTGAAAAACTCATAGTGGTACTGGTGGTTGCCTCCAAACTCCTCCGCCTTAAAGCTTCGCCCAGGCTGGATGATTGGCAATCTTCATTTGCGTTAGATTTGTAATTTGCTGTATCAATTTGAGCATTTGAATAATAGTTTAAACATTTGATTTGTCATTTAATTATTACAGTATTTTAGTAAGTTGTTCATGAAAATAAATATCAAATACATTTGGTTTCTCATTTGAGAATGCATTTTGATTTATTATTTGATCATTTGAGCATTTGTTTTATCATTTGGGTAGCTGTGTCGAGAGTTTGATTTACTATTGAAATTTGAATTTTCATTTTAATTTTGTTATGAAAAAAACTACCATATTAGTATTTATATATTTTTGATTTTATATGATTTTTGCCAAACCAACAAATGAAAACAAGTAATTTTAACTATTTTTAAGTTGGATTTTTTTAGTGCACAATATTGAAAACACTTGTTCCAAACTAGAATGAGTTGTTCTTCTGAACACAAAAGATGATATTTTGAAGAAGCTGAAAACGTGTAACCATTAACTTACATAGTTTTTGCTGTTCTTATTTTGAAAGTCAGTCGTTACAGGTTTCTCAAAATTCTTCAAAATAAGTTCATTTGTGTTCAACAGTAGAAAGAAAACTAATAAAGGTTTAGAACTGCTTGAGGATGAGTAAGGGCTCATTCACACCAAATGCATCTTTGCTTCAATAAAATGGGAGACATAATGGTTTCGAAGCACACGAACAAAAAAAAAACCCCACAAAGCACAAGGGTATCAAGAAACAGCCAATGAGCGCCTTTAAACAGAAACTTGCACCGTTTCACCCTCCTCCGAGTTCTTCTGATTGGTCCACAGTGAATATGTGAAGTTCTTTTAAGTTCACAAGGTATCTAAAAAAACAAGGCACTTACATGTGTGATGCTTCAAAAGATGTAAGACATGAGCGTAATAGTCACACAAGGCCGTCAAGAGCACGTTTACATTAAAAAACAAAACATAAGTACAGTAGCATGTTGGAAAGGAAAACCATGTTCTTTGTGAACTGTCTGATTGGTACACTGCTATGGAACTGACAGTAATGAGCTGCGCTGCATGTGAA